TAACGAATACATGTGCATATGTGTGACATGGTGTATGTTCAAAGTTTGAATATGATTAGTCAAAACATGTCAGAGATATGGCTCTCGAACATCATTAGTTAAAAAAAAAATGGCCACCAATCATCCATGTTAAATCTGATCTGAAAGAACAGAATATGGGCATCAAAGTCACATTCTGTTCAATGTATGTACCAAGTTTGAACAAAATCCATCTGATTCAATATATTCCTGAAATACAGTTCTAAAATGATAACATGTTGTTAATTTTAATGCTAGGGTTTTCAGTTATGTCATGACCTTGATCTGAATCAGTGACAGAAATGGTCCACAGTCTGAATCTAAGCTAATTATTTATTCTGAGCATGCTCAGTTGTTCTCTCAGTGTTGTTGAGAGAGGTAATTTTGGATGAAAATCATGAAAAAGACCCACTTAGGATTTTAAGATCTGGAAAAATCATGTGCATATTCAGCAGAGACTTGTTCAACAACCTTCCAAGTTTCATCGGTATATGCTGCATTTCTGAGAAACTGTTAGAGACGTCACGGAAACCGAGAATAAGAAACTATATTCCCCTTTTCAGACTGCACCTGAAAACGGGACTAAAAAATCTACACACAGCTTTGCTTTCACATATCTATATGTATTTGTTTACCTTTTCCTGCACCATATATTTTCTTTGATTCCTCATATATCGAATTAATTTAGGAATATTCACAATTCCATTGCCAGCTAGAATCTCAGTCACAGCAGAATAAACCAGACAAAATACCGCCGATCTATCAATACCGCCGCTATAACCAGAACATATACAAGTGCTTAATGTCACTAAGTATAAATACAGGTTTTACACCACTAATTAGTAATCAAAGACCTCAAATTCCATGGTATTAAACCAATCAGCTTTTCTCTGCATTTCCTCTGAAACATGTTGTGTGAGGGATCACTTAAATTACATCTCAGCTAACAGACTTATGTGTGAAGGTTTTTTACTGGAAAGTATAGGTGACCTATAGAACTGGTCATCTAAATTATATACTTTTTGTAGAATTATATATTATTTCAAACCAATTCTTTTTATAAAAATACCTCAAAATGTTATCTACAAGAATCTCATTTGTAGACCCAGGGCAAAACATTTTTTTTTCAATTTTTAGCTGGACCATTTTTTCCAATATTGCCATTATCAAGATTTGGTAAATGGCTTCTATTTTGTTGACTTTCAACTCCTGTGATATTTTGGGCACTTGATTTTACAGTTTTTACACTGCACCAATGAATTAATTATAACGCACAACCAGAGTAGGGTGGCCATAATAATAATAACACTACAGGGAATTGAACATACAATCCTGAGGCTAGGAGAAAATGATAGTCACTGAACCACACCCTGGTACTTCTTTATCAGAGACATAAAAGTACCAGTTTGGAGACATCATTTATTTTTAGAAGATACTTACGTGCAATGCACAACAATTGGAATTTTTAGACTTCTTTGTACTTGGTAATAATTCTGTACTTCTGTAATAAAAGTTATCAGACCATTGGGATTGTCCGGTACACCACTGCAAAAACAATCAAATTTAAAACACAAATTATATGGTAATTCCAAATCAAAGGTTCCACAAAATCACAAAATTAATTCCCAGATTATTTCCCTGAAAATTTGATGCATGTATTTTTCTTTCTTGTATTTATTCATTATTTTGAATTTGTTGTTTGTTTTTTATTATGTGCATCTTGTTTTGTATTATACATTATTGCTCAGGTCATTTAACGGACTACGCCTACCTCACCATACCCCAGCCCACCCACACACACACACACTTACTGTTCCGGCCACCCTGTAAATTGTAAATGTATAATAGATCGACTTTGTCTGTCTTCTTTATGCGTAATATTAATTCTCCTCTCGGTACAGAAAGTTGATGTTCGGACACTTTGAAGATTAAGCAATAGAGTACCACATGTCATAGTCTGACCACGCTCACTTGGCCAGTATACATGGTAAGTCTGCAAACGTGAAAGAAAAAGACTATTAAAATGCTTACTCAAACGGGAACCAGCTCTTATGAGGGCTGATGTGAAAGAAAAAAAAACAATCATCACATGGAAATCTACTTTTTGTGATGACACTATATGAATTCCTAATGTGTACTGATTAACAGGTATAGCACATGGGACTAACAGTTGTGATCATTCTCATTTAACCCTACAAATGAATCTTCCTGATGCAAGGTGACTATGCTAACAACTTTACCACACACATGTATCAGCAATAACAATAAACTGTCACATGTCCCAACCACTACATCAAAGACTAACCTTTCCTGCTTCGCTATCTGAAAGCAGCATGGCTATAACTGAAATCTGTTGCTCATAAACCATTATCCAGAAGTCATTGAAGGTCACTGGAAGCGGTGCTTGTGTGACAATGAATGGTGCAGCAGTCGGTGTAATTCCAACCAATGGACTGGCATTGATGTAATCATCTTTAGAAGAAGACAGAGTTGTCCTGCAATGATCAACTACAAAAAGAGATAGCAGCATGTATATATTGAAAGTGACATTTAAATTTTATCCTCGGGGGCGGAGCTACGTCACGGACGTTCTACGTTGCTAAGACGCGCACCACTGTACCATGTATTTCTATGGGGCTTTGTGCGCGCTGCTGTGGAACGCCGTGGAGCCGGTGAAAACTCGAGAAAACAACACAAACTCAACTTTGAAGTAATCCTGAACAACCAAATTCATATATGTTACACACGTAGGGCTAATCTTGTTACACTGTTCAGGGGACTCTCAACAACCATCGCAAAGTACCGTTTTCTGCGAGTTTTTGTTCTTTGTTTTCACCGCGAGGGTTGCCAGGCGGTAGAAAATGCCCGGATGTCCGCCCCCGAGGATATAATTGTGTGTGCTTTTTTCATCAATACAAAATGATTTGACAGGTTTTTTTATGTTATGCATGTATTCTAACAGTAGTTTTGGAAAATCACAAATCTCAATGTTTTCTTGGAAAATGTTATCTATTTTTTCCTTTACTGTAAAATACTGCAGCAATTAATTTCAACATTTTGGATGTTTTGTACAAAGTTTATTTTCACTGAATTTTGATGAGTTAAATGTAAAATATAGGAAAAATGGCAAGTTGACTGGATTTATATATTCACTGATTAATCCATTTATTGACAATTAATTCTAAGTGAAAATAAAACACTTTACAGTACAATGTTACTTACATGGCATGATATCTGGGTACCTATTTTTCATAGAGTAACATCTAGCAATAGAAATCGAATATTGTTTAGTTTCTTTCTGTTGACAATCTGACAATTCCTATAAGTGAACAAAACAGAGTGAGTAACAATCTGAACATCCATAATATAATAAATTTGTTGTTCACATGATACTGAATAAATATGAATTCCAGCTACTTGCATGCACTGTCACCAATATATATGTTTGATACCACAAAAGAACAAACACATTGGGAGTTCATGCCCCATTCTGGGTTGACTAACACCAATTTAAAAACTTTTCCAACTGCTAAATAAGGCAGACATATTCCAAAATAAGCTATATGCCGAGAATCATGACATTTTCACACCAAGAAATAAGGCGGATACGCTACCAAAACAGAATCATATTAAACATATTAACATTAAACATACATATTAAACATTAATTCAAACATACTTGTACTTGAGATATTGATGGAAAAGCTGAAAACTAATTATGCAGATGGCATACCAAGTGAAATGTTGAAGTACAGCAGCGTAAGCATGATAAAGGCTCTACAAAAAATGTTCAATCAAATCCTGAAAAATGGGCAATACCCAGACAACTGGAACATTAGTATTCTTACACCAATACATAAACAGGGTAATTATCTCAACACTAACAACTACCGAGGTGTATCAGTGAACAGCAACATTGGAAAACTATTCAATGCAGTACTCAACAGAAGACTGATTAAATATTTAGATGAAAAGAATATTATACACCCAAATCAAGGTGGTTTCCGAAGCAAACACCGTACAACAGATCATATCATCACACTACATACCATGATTAAAAAATATCAAAAAAAAGGAAAAAAACTTTACTGCTGCTTTATAGATTTAAAGAAATGTTTTGATACTGTTTGGAACAAAGGATTGATGTACAAACTGAAAAGCAACAATATAAATGGCAACTTATACAAGTTAATTGAAAGTATGTACAACAATAAGAAATACAAACTAAAGTTGGGTGACAGAATAACAACACCATTCCATATACACAATGGAATGAAACAAGGCTGTCCACTAAGCCCAACACTGTTCAATATTTATATCAATGACCTCATCGCTGAGCTAAACAAACAACCATTAAATCAACCATCATTGAACAAGAAGTCAATCCCATGCCTATTATACGCAGATGATATTGTACTTATGTCTGAGAGTGCACCAGGACTACAACAATTGATGGATAAAAATGGACACCACACAGAAGGGATGCATATCAAAGTTGGGAATGAGGAACTAGAAAAAACAACACATTATACATATCTTGGAGTGACTTTTAATACAAATGGCTCAATGGATACAACAATGGACAGGTTATCTGACAAGGCTAGGAAAACTGAAAGGGCTCAACTCATCTTTTCAGTGGTAGTAACAACAACCATGTAAAATTGAAAACAAAATTA